TGTGAAGAAAGACAAAGAAACAAATTACTTTCGGTATTATATTGATAAGTGATCTACTGGGCTAAATGTATTTAGTGATAGGGAATTGTTGTCCCATTAACATTGGGGAAAACTTTAATAAAGAATGCAGTATAAAAAACACTTGCATTTTTATATAAATCATGTGCTCTAAAAGTGCCATGTGCAAAAGTATATGGGGCATATCTATTATACAATGATATCCCCATGCGTGCAGAGAAAGATTGAAAAGCTTAGATTACAGGCAAAGTGCTAAATTTCCAAAGTGCATAGTGGCTTCAATTGTAACCAACAATATAAAAAATATGTTAATACATGATGATAAATTGAAACAATCTTTTAAACATATATTCTCAGAGATTATGTATATTGATGAATTGCTTAGGAGATGTTTCTTTAAATATGTTTTTGCACTAATAAGCACTTTCATAACATGCACTTTTATACTACACACTATGCACTTTGGAATTTTAGCACTTTGCCTGTAATCTAAGCTTTTCAATCTTTCTCTGCACGCATGGGGATATCATTGTATTATAGATATGCCCCGTATACTTGAGCACATGGCGCTTTTAGAGCCCATGATTTATATAAAAATACCAATGTTTTTTATACTGCATTTTTGATTAAAGTTTTTCCCTATGTTAATAGGACAACAATTCACTATCACTAATTAAATTTAGCCCAGTTGATCACTTATCAGTATAATACCTGAAGTAATTTGTTTCTTTGTCTTTATTCATACGAATGTATAGGGCTGTATGTGTTGCTATGGATTAGAGTGGAAGCCCGTTGCAGTGCTAAATTAGAGGAGATGTGAGACATGTAAATCTCCACCAATAGGATTAAAAGCATCTTGCATCTCCATGACAGCACATATCCTTTTCAACAACACATATCTATGTCATCACTAGGTGCAGTGAAGGTTTTTAGAACGAATGCGCAATTTACACAGGTGAACGCGGGCGACACACACCTGGCGTAAGTTATTTTACTTATTCCTCTTATAAATATCACTCTTTTCTAGTTCTTGCTATGCTGTCCTGAGGAAAGTCCCGAATAGGGACTGAAACGTTGACGCTGTTTAGCATCATATTTGTTTTTTTTTAAATGTAAATATTAAAAGCCAAGTTTTATGAAGACCGTGAGTGTAGACCATCTCTTCGACTTTTGATATATATGTATATACATATATACATATATACACACAGCAACACCAGCAAAAAAGAGAAAGGACAAAATATATATAGTATTATTATTATTATTATTATAATCATTGGTATTTATATAGCGCCAGCTTATTCCGCAGTGCGGAATATATATATATATATATATATATATATATATGTATATATATATAAATAAATCAAGATGGGCTAAATTGTGTAATATTGGAAAAATATAGAGATTTCAGTCTTACTCTCTGAATGCTAGAATTCTGTGTTGTAGTTGTCAGTTCAAAGTCTTACCAATATGTAATATATACTTATACACTCAGCAACACTAGAAAAAAATGGAAAGGACAAAAACAGTTTGATTAACTAAACACTTAGAGAAAAAGCAAATTGTAACGAACCGTTTCAGCACACAAGGGGTTAAAACCGTTTAGGTGATCGTCCCCTTTCAGAGATGCAGGCACAGCTACTGTAGAACACCAAACTCCCGAACCACAAATAAGGGAATGCTCCAATCTCCTGAACTGCATACAATATAACACTCCAAACTCACGAACTGGAACCATACGAATAGCTGCTAGCAGACGAATAGGAAAAGCATCCAAGCGGCTTACACTCCTAGCAATCAGTCTCTATCAGCATTCAGTAAATCCCCCCCAAAGATGAGACAAAGCTCTCTGTTGAGGGTCAAGCAGTGGTCTGTTTAATGAGGGCTACCTGCCCAGTATTTATGCAGGTCTCCCACCTGGTGGACACTCCCCTAGGGGACCAAATGGGAGACTGTGACAAGGGACAGACAAGTAGCCAAATAGGACACACAGTCACATTGTATTCCCACAATGCATCCTGGCTTCCTCCCCTCTGCCCTGGAGATAATTGAGAAGTAATTCAATTATCTCCCAGGACAAAGGCAAATCGCCATTATGCACGTGGGGATACTAACACAAGAATTATTATTAAAATACACTATGTAAGTCACATTACATTAAAACTATACATTTAACATGTCCCCAGATAGCTCAGGTCTGAGCGCACATTATTAAGTGAATGGCGCTCAGACCACACGAATACAGTTCAATCGCCATGGAGCCAAAGTCTTTACAAAGTTAGTTCTCATACGAATGAGCTGCATGGGATTCCTATCTGGGGTATAATACAGTCAGGTAAAACTACTGAACACCGGTCCGTTCTTGCACTCCCGCCGAACAAGAAGGGAGGTCGGCGGCTTCAGCGGTGTTCGCGCCAAACTGTGTCCGTTTTTAGTTCCATGAGTTAGGCGTCGAACACCGCTGTGCGTTCGCGTGTTTAAAATGGCCGCGACCTCGTGTTCGTGATACGAATGGCGGCCACCCAGTATTCGTCAATTAAGCTGCGGTTAACCTAAGCTAATTGCCGGCACACTCCAGCTCCCAGGTGGTCTAGTCATTCGTGCGGTTGTTCGGTTCCGAACACCGGGCAGAAAAGCACGAATAAGTCTTTTCTGCAGGGAAAAAGATGTCTTTTAACATGGGGCCATAGTCCAAAGGCAGCAGGTGAGCAACCAGGCTTCTCCAATGCAATGTGGCGAGATTGCTCTCGTCACACAAATTAATCAAATTCACATTTATATGACGATCTCTGATCGTGTAAGCTTGTGTATCTGTGAGGTAGCACCCCACCTTCCTTAACATTCTCCTGAATATCTACTTAAAAGAAATAAAATCAGAGAAAAAAAATCCATGGTGCAGTATCCTCAATTTGTTCAATACCCCCATATAGTGAAAAAAATACTGCTTTACTTCCTGGCCAAAACACTGCCAAAATTGGCGTTCAAATTTGTTTTTTGCATTTTTCACACACAAACAAATATTAACACTAACTGTGGCCAGTGTTTATGACCAAGTGGCTACTAAAAAAGACAGGAAATACCCCATTTGCAATACCTTGGGTTGTCTACTATTGCAACTGGTATGCCATCATGGGGGTAATTCTCATTCCTGGGCTAGCATACGGTCTCAAAGGCAAAGTTACCAATCTGGCGAATTTCAATTTGAAAAAAACTGAAAAATGTAGCATGCTATATATGACCCTGTAACTTCCCAAAGCACCGTAAAACCTGTACATAGGGGGTACTGTTTTACACGTGAGACATCGTTGAATACAAAAAGGTGTATTTTATTGCAGTAAAAGCAAACAGTATTATGACATTCACAGTTAAAATGTCATGTAGAACTAAAAAAAATAACAATTTCTTATTTTCTCCCTTTTTTAATATATTTTATTCATATTAAATTATGTTTCATAGCTAAATATTTGATGTTAAACGAAAGCCCTGTTTCCCCCAACTAAAATGATATATAATAGGTGCGGGTGCACTTAACCCCTTAAGGACACAACTTCTGGAATTGTGACAGAATATTTCCGTCATGTGTCCTTAAGTGGTTAATATGAAAGAGGTGAATTACGGTTGAACAGACATATAGTCAAATTCAAGGTTTTGTTTACGTTTTGCTTTGATCACAACGTGTACATTTGGCTCAGTCCTTAAAGGATTAATAAATATCCCTGATTGTGTTTTTAAGCACAAATTGACCATACAGTAAATTACGTTCTGTTGTAACAACTGGTATTTTTTATTTTTTTGTGACAACTACATCTAGCAATTTAACTTTAATGTACATTTATATATCATACTCTTTTCTGATTTTCCCCTTTACTGATTGTGTTCCACTTGTTACATTGTGAAAATTATTTAAGTATTTAGATACAGTGTATTTTTTATTTTTTTTACTATAATATGGTAAGATAACATTCACATTATATACATTTTGAAACCTAACATATACATAACACAAGACCATATATTCCTACACCTCTGCTGAAGTCTAAAACACAATGCTCTTACTGTGTGTTAAAAGCAACACTGCATCTTTAGTTGACACTGAATGAATATTGTTTAAAATAAATAGATGAAAAATATTTTACACAGTCCTTTTTTATATGAATGTCACTATAAAAATAATAAACGCATGTAATTTAAAGAGCAAAAAACAGCACACTACTATAGTCTCTAGGCCATCCAAACAACACATGATATTTAACACATATACCATATACAAAGAGCAGCCAATGACCTTCATATACGCACAAAGAATTTTGATTATTTATATATACCGTTTTTGTATTATTCTGTGTTTATAAGCACTTGTATTGATAATATATAGAGTTGAGTGGACACCTGAATGTTTGGGTCCGACGGGTTTGAAAAAAAGTCCAGGTTCGGTCTCGAACTTGACGCCGAACCCGAACCCCATTGAAGTCAATGGGGACCCAAACTTTTGGCCACAAAAATTCCTCTAAAAAACTCCTGGAAAGGGCTAGAGAGCTGCAAAAGCAAGTAAAATGGGGGTAAGAGTAGGACAAGTGCCCTGCAAACAAATGTGGATAGGGAAATCACTTAAAATAACATAAAAATTAAAAATACAACTAAGCCATAAAATAGCACTAGATGGAATTTTAGATTTTAGCTCTGGAAGAACATAAATCAAAATCTAAAGCATGGCTGTCAGGAGGATCACCAGAATTATCCATTTGAGAGAGGGTTGGAGTGCAGGGTATTCTCTTTCATTGTTCAAACTGAGCTCAACTCCTGATGCACAGAGAAACGGCCTTTGCAAGCCTCTGCTATTGTGTACATAGTTTATACTAAGTGACCCATAGGTTGAGGAGGCGGTGACCATGGCGGTGCAGGTGGAAGCGCGGTGGAGGAGGAGGATGACGTAACCAACACTGTTTTTATATATATATATATATATACATATATATATATATATTTTATTTTGGTAGCCCCCAAAATATTGGGATATATAGAAAAAGACAACTCTGTTCCACAGAGTAGCTGTTGACATTATAGTTGCGCAGGCACTTGACTCTAGAGAACCTCGGGCCAATCGCACATCCCCGTGGCGGCGACTTTGCCTACGGATGTCATCCATATAAACTTTTTCTGCCAGTTTCTGCGCCTACCATGGTGACCACGGGTAACGGGGAATCAGGGTTCCATTCCATACAAGGACCCTGAGAAACGGCTACCACATGCAAGGAAGGCAGCAGGTGCGCAAAGACCCACTCCTGACACGGGAAGGTAGTGACGACAAATAACAATACAGGACTCTTTAGAGGCCCTGTAATTGTAATGAGTCCACTTGAAATCCTTTAACTCTGATCAATTGGAGGGAAGTCTGGTGCAGAGCCACTGACCCATGCGTGCTGCAGCTGAAACTCCACTATCGCCTGCTGCTGCTTGCACAGTCTCATGAGTCGGTGAGTGGGAAGGCCGAAGTTATGCTGCAGCGCAGACAGGCAAGCAGCAGCAGGGTGAGAGCATCAAAAGCGCGCACAGCCGCTATATTGAATGTCACATCCTGTTCCAAGTTGTGGATCAGTCTGGTGATGGCTTCTGGTATCCAGTACTCTTTTTACTGAAGCTGCATCAGGGTCCTGGTATGTGGCCGCACAAACGCTGGTGCTCAACACCAGGGGGCGTGCGGTTACCCTGCACCAGACCCTGCTAATCCATTCCACACTGTGACTCCTAACTTCAGCATCAGGCTACTGGTTCCTGTCATCATCATCCACATCATCTTCCACCCACTCCTCAACGCTGCCGGTATGCACACTGCAGAAAGCCACAGCAGTTGGCACCTGTGTTTTTCCAGCATGTAAAGTCTGCAAAGGACATATGGAAATTGTTTTAGAATTGTATCCAGGCAACAGTTTTCCCTATAAACTGACCTCTCAGTTTGACTTGTGAGGGTATTGCACCAGAATTACAATATTGTTTAAGTACCTCTTAGCTATTGATAACTGGTTAAAATGTAGCAGCTTGTTATCTGGTAGTTTCTAGTGTAGAAAATATAAATCTGTTTTCTATCACTTAGATCTGTGTAACAAGTGTTGTAGGTGTGAAACAATATTACAAGTGACCGATGTAGTAAATTCGAATCAAAGTTACGCTTCGATTTGACTCTCAGATATGAAGAGCAGGCCACAAAATGTACTATTTAGCAGATTAGCAGCAAAACAATTAGAATGTTTACAACTGCACAGTAAGCGCACTATTTGACGCTTCTATTTGACTCTCAGATATGAAGAGCACTGCAGTCCGCAAATGTACTATTTAGCATATTAGCAGCAAAACAGTAAGAATTTTTACAACTGCGCTGTAAGCACACTATTAGATGCTTCGATTTGACTCTCAGATATTAAGTGAACACCCCAAATATACTATTTAGCACCAAAAAAATAAAAAAATTAAATTACTGTAGCGGAGTAGTGGTATTATCCACGGTATCTTCGCTGGTAGACAGGATGAAGCAGGTAAAATGTAGGTAAAATGCAGGTAGCGTAGTTACAATCCTTTTCTCCTAAGAACTAGACGACACATAGCTTGGAGGTTAAAACACTGGCATCTCACCAGGCTGAGACACACTCTTTAATGATTACAGTTTTCTTTAAACACAGCCCTCCGCAGGGGGGTCTGCATTCCACACAATACCCTTCTCTTAGTCCCAGGCAGGAGGGGGTTGGGTTACAGATAGCCATCTCCTGCCTTAGGAGATACCAAGCAGTACACAGGAATACACTTTACATCATATTACATTCATGGGGGGTTACACTTTAAGTGGCTGGTTTGGCCACAGATAGGAATAGCAATGCAGCAATAGCAAGATATATACAAGGACATTCTGTAAGTGGCTAGGTTTGCCACAATGCTCCCCCAGAACCAAGCCGGCATACACAGTCTGATCCCCACGGATCGGCTTGGGGATGTCCGGAGGGGGCTCACAGATCACTTTTCAAAATCAGTCTGTCTGGATAACCCGTCAGCGTTACCGTTTTGTTTTCCGGGGCGATAATGGATTGTAAAGTCAAAAGGCTGCAGCGCCAAACTCCAGCGCAGCAGCCTGGCGTTGTCTCCAGCCACACGGTTTAGCCACACCAACGGGTTGTGATCTGTGAGCAAAGAAAAGGCTTGCCCATAGAGATACGGCTGTAACTTTTTAAGGGCCCACACCACGGCCAGGCATTCTTTTTCTATGGCGGCGTAGCTTACTTCCCGGGGTAACAACTTCCGGCTTAAATAAGCTACAGGATGTTCTCCACCATCGGCTCCAACTTGGCTCAGCACTGCCCCCAATCCAAACATTGAAGCGTCTGTGTGGACAAGAAAGCGTTTAGTTGGATCAGGGGCAGCGAGTACAGGTGCATTAGTCAGAGCCGTCTTAAGTTGGGTGAATGCCTGTTCACACTCTGGGGCCCAGACGACCTGTCGGGGTAGATTCTTACGAGTCAGATCAGTCAAGGGTTTGGCCAGGGTACTGTAATTGGGCACAAATTTTCTGTAGTACCCTGCGGTACCCAGGAAGGCGAGTACTTGGGTCTTGGTCCTAGGAGGGGGCCACTTAGCTACGGCTTCGATTTTTGCTGGCTCCGGTTTCTGTTGCCCACTTCCTACCCGGTGGCCCAAGTACTGTACTTCAGCCATCCCTATGTGACACTTGCTAGGCTTCAGTGTCAACCCTGCCTCTCCAATACGGTCTATTACTGCCCCTATGTGTTGCAAATGCTCTGCCCAGGTCTGGCTATATATGGCGATATCGTCCAGGTATGCGCATGCATACTCCTGGAACCCATCCAGTAGCCGATCCACCATCCTCTGGAAGGTTGCCGGGGCGTTCTTCATCCCGAATGGCATAACCTTAAACTGATACAGGCCAAACGGGGTGACGAACGCCGACTTGGGGATGGCCTCCTCGGCTAGTGGAATCTGCCAGTACCCTTTACATAAATCTATGGTGGTAAGATACGGGCCTCTTGCCATCCGATCTAGCAGCTCGTCTATCCGGGGCATCGGGTAGGCATCAGACACCGTTTTGTCGTTTAGCCTCCGGTAGTCTACACAAAACCGGGTTGTACCATCCTTCTTAGGTACCAGGACTACCGGCGATGCCCAGGGGCTATCGGAGTGTTCAATAACCCCTAACTGCAACATCTCCTCAATCTCCTTCCTCATGTGCTCTCTGACAGATTCAGGAATCCGATACGGGGTTTGCCACATCGGTAGCTGTCCAGGGGTTTCAACTCTGTGGGTGGCCAGCGGAGTGTACCCCGGCAAGTTGGAGAAAGTGGCGCCTTTCGCCGCTATCAACTCCTGTACCTGAGTTCGCTCTTGAGGGCTTAACCGCTCCCCCAGTTGAACCCCCTTGGAGGGCTCTGTCAGATCGTCCTGTTCCAATAGGTCAGGTAGCGGCAGATTTTCCTGATCTTCAGAGGCGGGCGTGCATATGGCTGCCACATCCTCTGTCCTCTCATGGTAGGGTTTGAGCATGTTCACGTGGAGCATGCGTCTCTTCCCTACCCCTGAGCAGGGGCCAATCACATAGGTGGTGTCACATCTCTGTTCCACCACCTGGTATGGGCCTTGCCAGATGGCTTGCAGCTTGTCTGTGCGGACAGGTTTTAAAATCAAAACCTTCTGTCCCACTTGAAAGCTACGGTCTCTGGCTCCCCTGTCATACCAGCGGCGCTGCCGTTGCTGGGCCGCCTGGAGATTGGTGCGTACGGCCTGTGTTAATTCCTCCAGGCGGTCCCTGAACTCCAGCACGTACGGTACAATGGGGATCCCATCAGTGCTACTCTCTCCCTCCCAATGCTCCCTAATTAGGTCCAACGGACCCCTTACCCTTCTCCCAAACAACAATTCAAATGGAGAAAATCCCGTCGACTCTTGAGGTACCTCTCTATATGCGAACAGCAGATGGGGAAGAAATCGCTCCCAGTCCTTATGGGTCTCTCCAAACGTACGGAGCATCTGCTTCAGGGTACCATTAAACCTTTCACACAGGCCGTTGGACTGGGGGTGATAGGCAGAGTTTACTATTGGCTTAATGCCACATATCTTCCACAGTTGCTGGGTGACCTCCGCGGTGAACTGGGTACCCCTGTCAGATATTATCTCCTGCGGGAATCCTACCCGGGAAAAGACTTTTAGCAAGGCTTCGGCCACTGTCTCTGCGTGAAAATTAGACAGGGCGATGGCCTCGGGGTACCGGGTGGCGTAGTCTACCACGGTCAGGATATACCTCTTACCAGAGGGACTAGGCTTAGGTAAGGGTCCCACTATGTCAACTGCCACTCTGCTAAATGGCTCCTCAATAATTGGTAGGGGGCATAGTTTCGCTTTGTGGCGATCCCCCCTCTTTCCCACCAGTTGGCAAATGTCACAGGAGGTGCAGTACTGCCTTACATCTTTGGAGATCCCTGGCCAGAAAAAGGCGTGGGTCAGCCGGTAGCGGGTACGGGCCATTCCCAAATGCCCAGACAAGGGAATATCATGCGCAATCCTAAGCAATTCCTGCCTGTACTTTTGGGGAACCACTAACTGTTTAGTTTTTACTGTGACTGAGCCCCCTATTACTCTTTCCGCTATACGATATAACAACCCGTTCTCCCAGATATACCGCTCCCCCTCTAATCCCGCCTGATTGGTGCTCACCCTATCTCGGTAAACCTGCAAGGTGGGGTCTAACTTCACCTCTGCCTCAAATTTACTTGGGGTATCCCAGGTCATACGTGTCGTGGGGGAGTCATGGTCTCTTACCTGAGCCTCAGAGTGTGCTGATGGAACCGTGGTGCGAGCCTGCTGCCGGGTGGTCACTGGATGTGCTTCCTGGTGGGGAACCGGAGGTATAAAAGCAGAGGTCATCTGGCCCAAATCATTCCCAAGTACAACATCCGCAGGTAGCTTCTGCATCAGGCCCACCTCGACCATCCCTTCCCCAACACCCCAATTCAAATGTACTTTCGCAGTGGGCAATCTGTATACGGCTCCCCCTGCTACTCGTACGGCTACGGATCCTCCAGTGTGGGCTGAGCCGGGAACCAAATGCGGGGCGACCAATGTAAGAGTGGCCCCCGAATCTCGGAGCCCTTGTACCTCTTTCCCTTCTAGCGTTACCAGCTGCCGGTGATGCTGCCTGTTGTCTGTGGCTTGTACAGACATCACCTCATGTAGTATCCCCAGTGGTTCCTCTGTTTGATTAAAGAGCATCTCCTGGGTGGCGGGTTCCGCTTGGTAGTGGTGGGCGGC